ATATCGAATTGCCTCCCAAGCTTTAGACATCATCAAGCAACGGAGAAGAGCCCTTAACAATATAATATTGTTTTACGATTTTACTTTACTTTACTTTACTTTACTTCGCTCTTAGTAGTCATAAACGAAACGAGTGAAGTCCGAGCCTTCCTAGACAATCTCCGTCTATAAAAACAAATCTCGATCGGCCTAGACAACTCTGAAGTCTATCTGGATGTCTCCGCCTAACATCAGTAGCTAATAATTTATACCTGAACTTAGTTCACTATTAATTAAAAGAGATCTTCCAAGACTCCACATACATGATCCAATAGTTTTCAAGGCATTTCTGCCTAATACTTTTGTTCTCTCATCATATATTTACTCAAAAATAGCTGATTATATTCATATTGATTGCTTACTATTGGGTAACCAATAGGAAGATACAGCAGCAGTTTCAGTATAGTGGATTGATTATTTCATAATGTGAAAATATTTGATTTGATTTTAAGCCTCAAAAGTTCAAAATTAAGTAGAATTGAAAGTATGTGTAATAAGACTCCACAGAGTACTATTACTGTTAACCAAACCAATACTCATACAGGTGTTAAGAGACTACCATGGTAGGAATGGTGGTAGACTAGAGTCTACCGAGTGGAGGTACCATTAGTTAGATATCTCAGTTGGACATACTACGCTATACTAAGCAGTACATAGGTACTAGTAAGGAGCGATGGTTACCCTTCTCGGTGGGGTAACCAAAGTAGTCAATTTGGGAGTTACTCTGAATTGCTCAATGGTGGGTCCGGGTAGAGTTACCCTACCTTCGGACTAATGTTATCCTACCTTGGAATATGGGTTACTCTACTATGGAGCCAAGTTACCCTACCTTGAAAGTAACTTGTTATGCAGAACTTCGGGAGAAGTTACTAGATAGTTTGTCATGCAAAACCACATAGGGTATCCGAATCTCAGGTTGTGCAGATCACTCCTGCACAACTAAATGAGCACCAAACAAGCTGAAACCTGGCTGTATGGTGGCTAACACCTCCCTCCAGCCCCATTATAAGTCCCTAGTGTCATGAGCTACAGCCTGGAGAGTTGCTGCAAGCCTAGCAAAAGTCTTCAGATAGAGATGCTTCTTTATCACAGTATATGCTCACATTGTCTGTCCAACCGGAGTCTGTCCACAGGATATCTTATGGGTAGAGGTGAACCTGGATAATGGTCTCCAGGTGGTCTTGTATAAAACGGACCAGAACTGACAGAGTAATACAACTTTGAAGTTAGAGGTAGTCTGTGAGGTTACTGGAGACCAGTAGGCAAGGTAACTGAAGTCTGTTGCCCCGAATGTGTAATAGTATTAGAGAATTGTTAAGAACTCTGAGACACTATTCTGAGGTTATGATAAGAGCTACTTCTAGGAGGATTGACTGAGGGTAGTGCTTATTGGTAGTTAACCTCCGAAGAGGTCTATCGAGAGAGCTACATGGCCATCAACTAGAATGATATAGAATAGAGTAGAACTGGATAGATGTTCAGCAGCTCCGGATGCTTGTAGAAGACTAAGTGTATATGGGTAGAGAGTTCCATAATTGGTATCGCATCCAGTCAGGCATAGCAGTTCGCCACTGACATGTCCATGATATGAAGGGTTTTTTACTCCTGCGGTTGCATTGTATATGCAGTGGCTAAAACACTTCTATCAGGTAGATGTTAGCAAACTACGGAGCAGTCTAGTTTGCTATGGAGGATCTTTAGTCCGACCCGTAGAGGTTGACTAGGCAGCCCAAGGGAGTTGGGTACTCGTGAACGCAGAGTAGTGATGGGGAGCAACTAGCAGTATATGAAATCTACTTAAGTATATGTGAGTTCTCCTCTACTCTGACAATCAACTAGCTCTCGAGATCAGGACTTAATTGAGTAAAGCTGTGGCTTAATAATAATAAGTTTTACTGTTTTCTTTCTTCAAACTCTACTGTTGAGACTTTGACATTTATTATATTTGTTCACGTTTGCAGAAGAATTCATTTCGGTACGGTCCCAACCTCGTGATCCATCTTCCCAGAGGGAGCCCCCATTACAGTATAATACTTGTAGAATTTCTACAGTCTCTAAGGTGAAAATTTTCCTCTGTGACAGTGTTTGCTATCTGTGAATGGTGCCAAATTGGCAAGAATAATTTTTTTCTGCTTGCCAAGCCATTCCACAATGCAACCGTCATGCATGGGCCTCACGCAATCAAACAGAACTTTAACAAAACTCCTCTCATTGGTCAATCCCTACTGCCCTCGTCCCCCCATTCACTGCCACCCCTATCCTAGGGGATGGGCCCCTTCGCATCCAATTATTCGCATGGTAACAATTCTAGGCATTCCCGGCAGAGGGCTCCTTGGGGCGTATCACGGTTGCGAATCTGGCTGCACCCCATCATACGTATTACACTCTTTTCCATCCATTCGGGATACCACTGTATCTTGATCTTCAACGATCGCCGCAACCTCAGTATCATGATCTTCAAGCGCCCACGGCCTCCGTGTAGTGCGTGTGGGATCTGCGCACGACACGCCGACTTCTTTTCAGTCCTCCCCAAAGGCTTCGACTTGCGCAGCCACTTGCAGATCCCGAAGAAAATGGACTACTTTTGACCAACACCCGAGTACCTTATTGCTCAATCACCTACATGATATATTGCTTCCCACGACATATCTTGGTACTCGAGTGCTCGATTAGGCCTCCACTGGCAGTCAATGCTGGCACGAGTCCCTGTCGCTGCGATACCCCTTAGGTCGCCCAAGCCCGGAAATCGAAAGACTAGCGACGATAACTCCGAATTTTCTTTTTGCCTCCGCTGTCCCCACCACCGCATCGACCATTGAGCATCCAATGGTGTTACGAATGGGTCCCCACCCGTCGCTACAATGAAGGATTGATTCTTAATGCACACATACTCGAGTACTCAAGTAGTGTTGAGCCCTGCTCGTGAGCTTCTTGTACAGTACGTGCCAACTATGCTACTAGTATCCTCTTTCAGATTTCCATGAGACCAAGCTGCGGCCGATCGGACAATCCGTGCTTGGCAAGAGCCTTTGGACGAATCATTTGCAAGCCCACTATTGGGGTGAAGTAGATGTTCCATGCTCCTCCGACAGGGAACCGGGGACGAGAAACTCCAAAAGGACCTCCAGAGAGTACCCGTAAGCGAGGTCGGTCCAAGGGTATGAGGGGTGTCGTTCTACAGTCTTCCCTCGCTGCTCAACACCAGTGATCATTCGGGAAATAGGGGCTATAGTGGATTTAGGTTAACTAAATTCTCCACGAAGCGCAGAGCCGTAGTTTCTGAAGTCAAAAGGTGCGAGAGAGTGCTTGTGCCTCTTACCCTAAAAGTGCCAAAATCAGCTAGAGTGGGCTACTCGCAGTGATCTACAGAAGCTATGAGCTGGCAATTCGCCTGGCTCTCTACGAGTACCGGTATTCGGGGTGGTCCAATAAGTCTTCTTAATTCGACGTCGGACGTCGGTGGAATCAGTCCTAGGTGCAGGTAAGGTGGCAGGTTGCGGTAGATCAATACCGGTAATAAACCCCGGTATCATAATACGGTAATGGCCGTCGTGCTTGGGGATCCAATAGACTATCCTTGCCTGCAGCTTGAGTCCTCCCCGGGGAACCGGCGGCGAGTCACAGGATCCAGAAAATCAGCCAAGACTTGTCAAAGAAGCCATTCAACATGGAAGTTCGACCATTGGTTCTCAAGGTAGGGTAGATAGCAGTAATAAGAAACGATCCTCGAGACGGTGTAAAGAATCAGAACTCTACGGCACCATTCCCAGCTGCATGTGGACGCGCTCGAGCACACAGTATATGAACTGCCTCGAAGCATCAGAGTCAACTAACCTAAGCGTAGGGGCAAATCCAATTTCTGCCTCAGTCAGGTCAAGCTCTTACATTTATTACCGTACCGGTACCGTACAAGTATCAGTGCCAGAGCCGTACTGTAATGTATTGCACTCGTACTGCCGCTGATAGCGGCGTACAAGTACTAGAGTACTGTACCAGTACTCGAGTATTCTGTCCTCCAATATTCTCATGTGATAATTTACATCCTCTCCATCATTATCACTCGAGTATCCAAATTTCATAAAATCACGCAGCTCACAAAACAGTTTTATCCCTACTTAGCCAACATACGCCCCAGCAAGGCGAAGGGTTTTACCATATCGTATTTAGGGAGAATCTTTCCATGATGCATTACCCGAGTATCCGAGTGGCCTGGGGCCTCTCTTGGGTAACATTATTGGTTCCTAATAGCTTTATAACATATTGTACCGTACACGCCTAGAATACTGAGTTCAGCCTGCGGGGCTCCAAAAAGCATCAAGATTTGCATTACACCAAACACATTCCCTGTCTTGCCAGTCTAGGCGCTGGGGGTAACAGCATGCCACCCACCAACAACGGAGCAGTTGGCATCGAACACCATACAACCCGAGCAACAATACAGCATGTGGTTTATCCCCTTTTCCTGTGTGCTGTACTAGATTCAACTTTTCTCACTGGAAAAAGGATTCCCTGGCCGTCAACTGGATAAAGATCACAAAAAACGGTGTTCATCTAGAATCTCAATTACTGTACCAAGCTCGGCTCTCCTCCTGTGGAGATCAGTGCTCCCAGTCGGACGGCGCTAGCCCCGGGCTTTCTTTTATGGATACTACCGGTATTACACTATTATGTTATTTAACTTGTTGTGGTACAGTACTAGTCTGTCTTAGCTAGGTGCATTGGCCATCATAATCGACTGCCGTCGCCCCGTCCATTCCGTCCAAAGACGAGACATTCTCGCCCTTTGTCGTCCTGGCCTTGGACGGACTGGTCGACTGGGAGTGCTGGTGGAGATCTCCCGGCTGGGCCATGCCAAGACACTATGGCTCCCAGAGCCGCTAGGCCCTGGTCAAGTGCGGTGATAAGCCTAACTTAACCTCGCGTTATCCTTACTTCTCCCCCGAAACTTCTTCCCCATTTGATTCACTCCATCGTCAAACCTATACTGCTACGCCCTACCTCGCTACGATGCCTACGGCCGCTACATCGGTAGCTGAGACCACTACTCCTGAGCCAGCAAAGAAACGAGCCTGTCCTCCGAAGAACTGCCCTTGCGAGTGGTGCGGTGTAGTATTTTCCAAGTCAGGACTCGGGAGACACTATGACTATTGGGTTTACTCCGCAAGCCCTGGAAAACCTGATGAGAAGCATACGCTCGAAGCTATCCAACGCATGAGGGAGATCCGGAAGGACGCCAGGAGGCTTAAGGGGTGTGATAAACTCGATCCGAAAGAGGTGAGGTCTCACATCCCGTCAGGTCACCCACGTTCTAGAATGATCATGTTAATTGCCGCAATGCTATGATATAGATCAAATCCCGCCAAAATAAACGAAACTACGAACGCCATAAGGGTAGGCACGTTGAGAAGAAGCGTGCCAAAAGGATGTCTGAGATGGCTAGGAGCATGGTCTTGAAGGAGATTGCTATGGAGATTTCAGCAATGTAAGTTGCCCTATTTTTCCCTGGACCGACTTTTGCTAACCTCCTATTTTCCCCATAGTTCTGCACCCCCTACCTACCCAACTCTGGAGCCAGATTCCGAGGCCCTCGTCAATTTTCCGGCCTTGGTCTATGCATTTCTCTCTCCTCCTTCGGACGTTTTTGCTCCCTCACCTAATCGCAACCTCAGCTCCTGGGGCGACCAATTACCCGGAGCCACGGAATACGTTGCTCTTGGCGTAAAATTCAAACAGCCAGACCTCAGCAAGTGGTCCCAGAGACTAGACCAAGAGTGGCAAAATTGGGGATCGTTGTCAGAACTCGAAAAGAGCAAGCTTTGTTTCCAGGAAATTGGTCGTGCCCTATCAAGGAGCCAAGCGGATGCCGCTACATACAAGCCGTACGCAAGGATTCTTGGTAAACTAGGAGGTGAAGAGTTGGGGAATAGGATTATAAAATGGGAAGGTAGAGCTACTCAGCTTCGCGCCCAAAAGGGGAGAGCTGAAGAGCTCCAGCTAGAGAAGGAATGGATGGCCACTAGAGATGACCAGCACCTCAGCCATGACAACGCCCCGACCGAAGGTGGAGCCTCAGGTAGCGGCGAGGGTAATTGGGACAATGGCAGGAGGGGTGGAAGTGATTCGGGAACATCGAGCTCGGGGGATGACACTGATTAGGCGCGATTGGCAATAGTTCCTTTGACTATATCCTTCAAAGTGGTGACTACCAACTTATGCACCGTTCGGCAAAAATGCCACAAAAAAACCATTAACAAGTATGGCATATCATACCAACCACACATATTTGTTATATTAACGAATAATGATCTCCATCTGTAGTCGGCTTCTTGTTTTTTGTTTCTGTTTTTGCCCCTGGCCCCCGTCCCTTTCGTCCAATCCCGAATTATTCTTACCCCTTACGAATCTCCTTTGATGGGCCAATTCTTATCTCTTATCCTCATAATCTGCCCCCTTTTCCTCTAAAAGTACAAGCTTTTGGCATGGCATTTGCTGTTCCCGTGGGGTAGGAATAAATTTGATCTTTTGAGAGTGGCGGAAGTATGCTTACTGGCTTTTCTTATCCAAATTGTCTGTGATTAACTGTTTCAGAGCACAAGAAATTGATAGGTTTTCTGTTTCTCTCTCTCTCATTTATGCATGAAGGCAAAATCCCTGGAGCTAGTTCGGACCCAGACGAGGCTTGATTATGTGGGGCTTCAAAAGCCATCGCGTCAGGTTATGCGATGCGACCTGCGAAGCTTGCTACGATCTGTAGATTGACCACCATGCAAGGTCTGCCACAGCTAGGACTTGAGAAAAGTGCCGGCTTGTTCAAAGTTTCGATAAACTGGCGGCAGGGAAGCTCCATGAACTTATTCCTGCTCACGGGGTAGCTATCTATCTGGGCCGAGTAGGGCGATTCGATTGGGAAATCCAGCAGCAAACCCGAACCGAGCCCCAATCCATTTTACACTTCTCGATAACCGCTCGTGTTCAAGAGCCTATCATTGCCCGTATAGTTGATATGGGGTCCCCCAGGTAAAAAAGCCTTAGCAGTATTGGCACAGAATATTGTTGGATTAGTGTGTACGAGTACGTTGACAACCTGGTTTCCATCATGCCCAAGCTGAGCAGTACGTACAGCTTTAGCGCTATTCCGAGCGCTACTCGTACACCACTTCTAAAGCACCGAGTTTTTCCTATCACGATTACCCAAATAGGCTAGTTTTCAACATTTCAAATGAGGTTGGAATGTCTCAGCCGAGGGAATATGACGATGAATCATGTGCTTGGGGGTTGACAGTCGGGCGCACCACTATCGGTATTTACTCGTAATTTTCTGACGTTTGCAAAAACACAACTGGGTCACCATATGCCGCTAAGAGCCCTCGCATCAGACCCGAACTCAAGTACTTTTGGGGTATTTTTTTGGTGGGGAACCCTCGGGCAAGTGAACTCGCAGGTAACTTACTTAAATCTAGGTCAGTTTTTCAATTTTCTGAGTTGCTGCTGCTGGTGCCATTGGGGCCATCTACAATATGCGGACCTAGTTGTGTTCACAAACGTCAGAAAATTACGGGTACTCGTACATTTGTATGGCCACTAAACCGGACTAGGAAGCTTGAGAGAGATCTGGTGAGGATTTTTTCGTGTCGGCACGAACTCGGGCGCTTTCCAAGTGGAGACCTGGCTTGTGTTACCGCGCCCGAAATACCCATTCCCCCGAGAACAAAGCAGAGTTTTTAGTGGGCGTGAAAGGCCCTCCCGACTGTGGAAAACTACCCTATCAGATAGGGTAGTTTGGCAGTCCCATGGTGGTTTTTTGCCCACTATGACTCGCCCGCGAGGAGATAGCTTGGCGCGCAGAATTTTCTGCATAAACGGCGCTCTCTTGTTTCCTTTGTTAGGCCGGTGCAGCCACACCTTCCTCTCAGCAAAACCAATTCCATCACCCACCTCACCTCGACTGAGCTTAGCTCTACGGTATCCTTGTTTTTCTCTCCCGATATCGGGTAAGTTACACCATATCTACCGGTATCGGGAGTCAATTTTACCCTCTCAATCGCCCGTTTTAACAAGGTAACTCCGCTCAATGTCATACCGGTAAAAACTCGCACACTCGTTATGCAGCCAAGGCCATAGTGCAAGGATTGTGGCCAATTAGAGCGCGATAATGTGTGGCCCTGCATAGCTACTTTTCTTTTACCAGTATTAGTCTATCTACTGAAGGGTGACTTACTAATTCATGAGAAGTGAACAATAGCCGACCATGTTCAGACCTGCCACCATGCTGGCATTCAGGCCCGCGGGAATCTACCGCTACCACCCTCATGTCCTCTATGCATGCAGGGCGATCGGCACTGCTAAGGTAAGCTCAAGTGTCTACGGCCCCCGGTCGAAAAAATCGGGAAGCTGAGATCGGGCTTCTGAGGGTTTGATTGGAGAGTTCGATGTAGTCGAGCCAATTGAGCGACCGTATTTCTGACATTTAATTTCCTACATTCCCGATTTTTATCATCTGAGGCTGTAATACTGTAGCCCACAAACTGTGCTAACCAGGCGACAATATTTGGCAGAAGAAGCAAACCAATCCTAAGCGTAAAACTGCACCTTCGGAGGTGATCATGGAAGAGGAAACTACTTCGGTGGGCTTAAAGTTCTAATGGCTCGCAAACTGTTCTAACGACATTCAACAAACTCGGGGGAAACAAACCAAGTACCAAACCGCATATTCGAGGGTCAGCATGCTGGACGCCCAGAAGAGACTCGGGTTTAGATTCAGGGACTTCGAAGAGGATGGCATGCCCATCAGCCAGATGTTGGCGCAGACCAAGCCCCAGATCGAAGGTCTCTCAAACGATCAGATCCAGCAAATTAAGCAAACGGTTTTCAACAATATGGTCCAATTTATTCAAGTCGAAGGGTATCCTACAGAATCGGATGAAAACTTTAAAGAAGCGAACGTCAACGACTTAGTTCTGCTTACAATCTTTCCCATACTCGCGGCGTTCAGATGCGAGACGAAGCACAAAGTTGAACTCTTAAGGGAAAAAGAGATTATTGCTACAGACTCCGAAACCGGCGGTACCGAGGAATTTGTTGGGATGAGCGTTATCGGAGTCGAGAACCAGAAGTTTGTCTTTGTTGTAGAGGGGAAGAAGGCCTCTATTGGGCAGGCAAAGAAGCAATGCATGTTGGCCCTAAAAGACATGGGAGATAACAATGGTGGAGGCATCGTGTTTGGTTTTGTCACGACGGGGGAACAGTGGCAAATGATCTGCTACGATTGCAAGGTTTTTACTCAGACAGATCGCTTTCAAGTATTGTACCATAGTATGGGACACAAGAAAGAGAAATGGATGAAGGAGGCCTCGATCATCGTGGATTGTATTCACACGGCGATTAGAAGTGGGGGATTTGTGGCCGCATGATTGGGAGTGGACGTCTGGTTGGGTTTTCTCGTGGGGTTTGTTTGTGGTGGCTGGTTGTTGTTGTTCGGGTTGTATGGCCGACCGCAGGGTAGTACTCGGGGGGTGTATCAAAAACCGGAAAGGGGGGTATCCCTGCTCCAGAAGCTGAGCAACCAAGACTCACGCAAACTTGGAAAATGGGAACAAGGATTAGTTTGTGATAAACCGGTAGGAAAGAAGAAGCAAATATAAAACCTATGACGAGAAGTAGAGTAAGTGACTTGTCCATATGACCAGAGTGTAGGGTAGATAGAGTTTCTCTAAGCTATATTTTCGGATTTTGGGTAATGCTCACATGTATCATCATCATTGTGACCATTCTCAAACACTAGAACCTCTCAGATATCCAGAAATAATTAGGAAGTATCTAAATTATTCCATCATTCATATACAAAATAGTTAAAGATCCACAAAGAGAGTTTTCTAGCTTGTCATGAGGCCTTGAGTACTCGTACTAGTAGGGACTTTGCGATTTCGTATTCAGAGTCAAATCCTAGCACTCTGGTTGGTCTGTAACTGCATTTGCCTTGCATCCAGAGTCTTTTCGCAAAGTCTCTAGTATATCTAGAGAGAGTCAGTAAAGAATGAATTGTGGTATTCAAAACCAATTGTCACGAATATGGCTTGGCAAGGAAAAGGTTTTCACGTAAATTATAATTATGTGTCATAGGTATGTGATTGTTTCACGCATATGACTCATTTGAGTCATATGACTTATTATGTTATGATTTGTTATGATTCGCACATGCCTCAATTATGAGTCATGGGATGTGTGCAGAGCAAGTATGCCTTGCAAGTATGCCTTGCAAGTATGCCTTGCAAGTATGCCTTGCCAGTATGTCTTGCACATATGATGTATGTTTCGCATATGACCTCATTACAAGGTCATGGGTTTCGTACATGTGACTGCTTGGGGTCATATGACTTATTTCGCTTGCAATAAATACTTCATCACTGTTACTTGTTTGTGTTTTTCGTTTGGGCAGTTGGTTAGAAGTTATTTGTTCTTGCTTAAAAGGCACTTTAGTATGAGATATCCATGGCCTGGTCCTGGCAATCACTGAGTGTAGTTTGGGCGAGGATGGCATCTTCGACAGCCTCCTCTTGCATGGATTCTCCCTCTCTTCGAGGATGTCATCTCCTGTCTGGTACGACTCCAACCCTTCCTCCTCGCTTGTGACAGCCCATGCAGCCTTGTCTCTTGCACCTACTACTGAGGCTGGCAGTGGCCTTACCCCTACAACTACATGGTCATATGTTGCGCCTGAAGGGAACTTTAGTTTCCTACAGTTTCACCACTGTCATGGGTGTCAGAATGCGATGAACCCGCAGTTTGATGAATTGGTTTGGCAGACAGTCACTGATGCGACAGTTGCCACGATGAAAGAAGTGGAGGTTTTGGTGAAGGGTTTCCTAATGGGGAGAGTCTGTTCAGCCACGTGTGGCTTGAACAAAGACACTACCACAGGGCTCTTTGTGTGGTTGAACTCCGATCACGGTTGAGAGTATTACCTGGCCCCTACACCCTCCCCCCCAAAGACTCTCAGGCCATTGTACCTGAGTCCTCCGTACCTCTGGCCAAAAGCAACTCGACTATGCCTACAGTTGAAGCAAGTTCATGGTCCGTTACCCCGCCCCTTGCTAGGGCTGTTCAGAGCAAAATGCCCAGTTTCCTTTGCTCGGCTCCTTTTAAAAGGACTGGCTTGTCCACCCCCTCATTTTGGGCCGAGACGTCGTCTGGTGAAAGGGCTCTCTATGAAACCCTTAAGTTCAGACAAGATGACCCTGAGGATGGAGACTGCAATCCCCCTACTGCTGGGACACGACGCCTGACAAGAGTGGCGTCCCACACCAAACGATCCACTGCTGCTGTTTTGGGGCTACAATTTTTATGGGCGATAAATGTCCATAAAGGTTAAAAGAAACAGGTCATTCCTGCCCTCCCTGGCCTGCCCCTTGACGTACACCATGGGCGCCTGACCATCCCCCCCCATGCAGGGCTCCCATTGACCATTGAGACTACACCACCCTCCCCATCCTCACTGGTAACTGAAGATGTTCTGCCTACCTCTGAGG